ACTTGGAAAAGAGAATGAGCATAATATCTGCAACCACAAGAGTTGGAGCGACAGAAGTGTTTATCTTCATTGTCGAAGGTAAGTGTTTATTTAATTTGATGTCATATTTCTTTTCTAAAATTATGATCATGGTCTATTGTATTTTTTTATTTTAAAGTAAATTGAATATTGCCAACGCTTTCTCTCTATCTTTATCATTTTTATTTCTCAACTATTAATTTTCGAGTTAGGCTCTTTTTAATTTTCTAAATCCTGAATTGTTTTTGTTTTATAAAATAGGAATACTAAATTTTTTATGTTGGTGGTAGATGTACAGTGGCAGATTCGTGAAGAACTTGAAGATTCAACTATAGGATACGACTTTAATTCAAAAAATCAGAATCAAACACCGTCTCACAATGTACCGACGACCATAATCGAAGGATCGTTATTGCAAAACATTGTAACCATGAGAAAAAAATAGAAAAGGTGCAACCACAAAACTCAAAATCCTGGTAACAAATTGTCAAAAATTTCTATGAGAGTTGAACTGAAATTGAACCAGATACGAATTTAATATTTGGTTCAAAAGAAGTAAGACTATAAATTGGTTTGGTTCTCAAGGATAATCATAATGGAAGATCTGCTGCAACCTCACCGTTACTCTTTACCTACCCTCTTCTAATTCAGCCATGTCAAGTGGAAGAAAGAGGGCTTGGAAGGAGTGTAAAGTAGGAAAGGCAGATCCAGATCCAGTGAGTAAGTGTTATCTCTTGTTTAACCATAAGCATATCGGTTTGGATCTTACTTCCTTCAAGTGTTCAACTTGGTTAACTCTGAATGTATCAATGGATGAATATTTCAAAATGGTCGTATAGGCGTGGTGTATCTGTATTCAACACCAATACACATACAACACACTTGCATTCATATTTGCTGCGAATCTCAGGTTTTGACATCAAAGAAGAACATTTAAGATTGATGAAAAATGTTATGATACAAGGAGGACTTGATCAATTTCTTTATTTTATTTTTTTTATATACTTTAAGGAAACATTTTCAATCTTAGTTTTAAAAGAATAATATTGTAAACTACTAGAGTTATAGCTATTGAAGTGTTTATCTTCTTTGAGAAGATGTGTAATTTAATTTTATGTCTTAGTTTATTTTAATCACTATTTTATTGTTTTTATCTAAATTTATGATCATGGTGTTATTTGTCATGACCATTTACATATACCTTGTAATCTCTAATCTTGAAAAAAATATTTATAACTCTATTACAATGGTAGATAATATAAAGTAAATAGATAAATTAAGTATATTAAACAAATTTATTTGAATAATAAATTATTCAAAACAAATATTAATTAAAATTATTTCAACTAATACATGCTTAATTTTCTTTAATTATTAGATAAAAATATTTATATTTATTATTGTTTTAAATCAATTACTGATGACAAAATAATTAATTTGCTATATAATTTATAACATTTTGTACAATCAATTTAATTAAGTAAACAATTTAACTTTTATGTAACCAGTTCAATATTTATTTCTAAATCAAACAAATAAAGAGTTTCATGGCCAAACAATTAAATATAAGTAAATTCTGTGATATCCATAAAAAAATTTTAGAATATTGTACATGAAAAATTTTAACTAATAATATTTAGACACGTATTTAAATAATAAATTTATTTAATAATAAATTATTATATTTGTTATATTTAAATAAATTAAAAATTATTTAAGTTAAAATTAAATAAATTAAAATTTAAAAATAAAATAATATTATATTAATATATTTTTTATATTTTTAATTTTATTATTATTAATATTTAATTATTAAATTAATATATTGTTTATAATTCTTTTCATTTATGATAAATAAAAATTACTTAAATATAAATTACATTTTATTTGAAACTAAAAATTTAAAAAAAATAAAAAAAATAAGATAAGAAATTTAATATACAATATATATATATATATATAATAAAATGATATAATAAATAATATAAATAATATAATTTTAAATAAATTATATCTAATAATATTTTTTAACTTGTCACGTTTCTTTTTTTATTAATATAAATATTTTGGATATAATATCTATAAAAAAAATTTAAGATACCACAGCACATACCAATATATAATTTTGTATTTATTTTATAATCCTTTAAATATTTTACAAACGTTAACCTAAAAAGTTTTGATCAAATATTTTTTTACATATTTTAATAATATTTTTTTATAAATACATTAAGTAACATATATTTAGTAAATGTAATTTTAACTATATTAAATATTAATATTCTTCTACATAATAAACTAATCAATAGAAAAAATAATAAATAATATAGCTTATCTCATAAATGAGTTATAGTTCTCAAAACCAGAAAGAATCTTAAATGCATATTTAAGATTGATTCACCTTTAAGTATTTATAAATTTGAAATTATGTGTAAAACTATACATTAAAAACATTAAAAGTTTAACATAATATATATATATATATATATATATATAAATTTTTAACACTAGTGTAATATCTATATCTTATATATTTTTATGAGTAAAAATTTTTGTATTTTTATTTTTATTTTATGACAGACAAATTTTTAAACATCTTTATCTACACCTTATTTTTATTTTTATATTTATAACTAATTTTTTTTCTTTTGAAAAACATATTGAACTTATTAAGGTCTTTAAAATTGACTTACAAGTATAAAATTTATTAAAAATGATATTTTGGTTAACAAAACTTTAATGAAAAACTTAAAATAAATTAAATTTTGAGGCATTTAAATATTTTAAGGAATGAAGTTATAATATTTTAAAATAGAAAAAAGACAGTGTAATATATGTATTCTTTAAAGGAAGAAAAGAGTAAGTTAGTCTTTAAATAATTTAATTTATTTTAATTAATTTTATATAATAAAAGCGAGTCTATTATTTGTAAAATAAAATATTAATGAAGTTCTTCTCTTTCCTAAGTTGTCATATAAATATTTTGAAATTAAATGAATTAAAAATGACATGTAAATTATATGGCTTCACTTTTTACTTTAATTTCGATCTAAATTTAAGAGATTAAAGTTGTTATTTTAATTTTTTTATTTTATATAAATTTTTATATTTTTTGTAAATATTTATTTTTATATTTATAAAAAATTTATTTTTTTAATTTAAATTTTATTTTCAAGATTCTTATCTCATAAATTTATGATTTTTAATATATATTAATTATTGATATATAATTATTATTTTACACTATACAATAAAAATATTATTTTAAATTATTTAATTCTATTAAATCTTTATTATTTTGATATATACTATTTATAGTTATAAAGTTAAGTTAAAATAATATTTTAAAAATTATATTTTTTAAAATAATTTTATCATATATAAAATTATTTACAAAATATAAATTTTTTTACTTTAATTATCAAATTATATATATATATATATTTTTTTTTTTTTATTTAAAAAAAATAAAATAAAATACTATTGCATTGTATCCGCCACTAAGCTAGATAATTGAATGCCCAACATTATGTTTAAGAACTTAAAAAAAAAAAATTATGTTAAATTTGGATGCAAATATTTTCTTTCACCAGACTTTATGAATTTTTATTTTAAATATGTATGCACAAAACATCTATAATTAGAATATTGGTCCTTGAAAAATCTAAACTAACAGGTGACAAAAAAAAATATCTTTATATTAAAATGCTCTAAATTTTCTAAAATTAAAAACATGCTATCATGATACTAAAAATGAATTAACAATTTAACATGTGACTTTCCTTAGATAATTTTATCAAAACAAATAGAAATATTGTAACTTACACGTCTTAAAGAGTCGAGAGATAGAGGAAGATTTTTTAGAGTTTTTTTTCTTAGAAAAGGAAAGCTTCAAATTTAGTTTTGATAAAAGAATTTGTAACATCATATTTTTTACTAATTATTTATTGAACTCAGAAAATTTTATTTGACGTTATAAAATTTTCTAAGAATGATTTTAAATGGAAATTACTTTTTGCATTATTTTTTTTTACTTTTTGCATCATTTTTATTTTTTAAGTAACTTTTTCGTCAAAATTGTCTACTATAATAAGAAAAACAAAGTTTTATTTATTTTTAGCATAATACACCCTTACATAATCTATTAAAATAAAAGCATTTCTACTTCAAACATCTGATTTATTCTTCTTATTATAAAAGCGGCTTCAGTTACACATTTGACAATTTTATTTTCATTATTAACTTTATTCTATTACATAAACCAATTGATAATAATATTTCTTTAAGGTTAGAATATTGAAAGAATAAAATCATTGTCTTCTTCAATAAATTATAGAGTTTGACTCATAATTGCGTTGTATAATGAACTTGAAATTGTTCATGTGCTTTCAAAAGTTTGGATAAGCAAACTCTAATATGAAGTCAATAAATTTAAAAGAACTCCAATATCACATTCATTATTTTTATTTAATTCGCCATTTTTACATCTATTTAGAAAATCCAATGGCGAAATTCTTTGGTTTCATTAACCTGTTGGCTTAACAACAAAAATAATTTCATTTAAGTTATCATTTACCTATTGCTTGTTGAAAGATGTAAAACTACTATAATTTTTATCGCTGGCCAAAAAGAATGTGATTTTGAGTATTAATGAAAATGACAACAAAGGCATTTTCTAATGTTACAAATCTGAGACCTTACACTTTTATCTACCAAATTTATTTAATATCCCAAAAGATCGCGTTTACATTATCTTCATGCTAGTGCATTTATAAAAGGAATTACAAATTATTCACTAGGAAGGGCACAAATAGGTACTTTATTGATATGTAAGAACACCAAACCAGTGAAGTTTATTACATCAACCAAACTACACCAAAAGCTAGATCACTTTTTATCTCAAGATGACTAATTCATGCACTTAAATTTATGGAGGTGGGAACCACTGCATTTTTTTCATATGTATTTTATTTAAAGGACCATTAGTTATAGTTGATCTTGAGCATGTCAATGAAATTCTTCCCTTCAGCAATGTCATTGGATGCCAGAAAGTTAAGAAAATCTCTGAAGCTGCTTTCCCTATAGTTCTTAGGATGCTTATCATCCACAAGCTCTTTAGCTGTCTCCATTTTATCATCCATCCCCAAACTGAACAAACTAGTAATTGAGATCCTGGTCCTGTCCTTGTTAAGGGTTGCTCTGTGCACAATACTCTTGTACAAACCATTGCTCAATACCTCAAAATGGTCACCAACATGCACTTGAAGGGCACCAGCAACGTGTGGCACTACTTTCCATGTACCATCCTCCAAATCCATTATCTCAAGCCCAGGGCAATTTTGGTGCAAAATGGTTAGGCAACTATAGTCAGAATGTGGTGGTAAACCAAGCGCAATCTCTGGCTCAGGGCAGGGTGGGTAGCAATTCACTGCCATGACTTGCATCCCATCTTCAATCTTTGTGGTTAGAAGTGTAGGATCTAATTCCAGACTCTCAATGAGTGCTGTCATCACCTCTAAGCCCACTTTCTTCACTTCTTCACAATATCTTCCCATTTTTCCCCTGTAAATTTTGAAGGGTAAAATTTAACTTCTCTGTTAGTGTAAAACTTTTTACATTATCATTCAATGTATTATCATATTGTTAAAAGAGTTTAATTACAACACCACAATTACTTGAGGCGTTAAACCCTTTTTGAAAATATAATAATGCATGTTTGATTGATAATGTAAAAAAATTTTACACTCAGAAATCACTAGTTAAAATTCAGTAAAGTACATCAATTTTCCAAATGAATGAATAGTGAACAATGAAATATTGTTAGGTATGTGACATGGAATTCACGAGCTTCGAATATAAAATTTGATGGTTGTAGGTATCCATACCTTTAGGATTAACTCGAGTAATTCATGGAAGTTTTTCTAACCAGAACAAAGAGTAAGGAAAAGCTTTCCAAAATATATAGAAAAATGTCTTACATTAGTTGTCTTATGCAGACAATTGCCTCCTTAATATTTGTTTTGACTATGTATATTTTCAATGTCTATGAATCAAATGTTAAAGCTTATCCTCAGTGTCCAGAAAAGACCAACAGATGAGTTAATGACATATATAACACAACAAAAGATTTGTCACAGCATTCAAAGACTTCAGATTATACGGCAACGTGGCCAACATCCCATTAAGGTTGGAAATTGAGTTCAAACTTTCAAGTGGAATAAATAATATAAAATAATGATTGTAAATAAAACAGGTATGACTATGAAAAGTGTCTAATAAATTAAGAAACATACTTCCTCCTGTATTTTACAATTATGAAAGGAATCATGAGTTTAATATCAAAATTTTGCTTGAACTAAATATTTCAGTTGCATGATCATTGTTGTTTGAAAATTGGATTGATGTGGTTTCCAAGGATTGTGGAAAGCTCCCTACATACCACTTACAAAGTTATTGAAGTGTTTGTTTCTCTATATGAAGCCAACATATATATAGGTCAACCAATCTATTCTTCAAAGTTTAATTTGTTAAAAATGCAAAATAATATAACTTTTGCACTCCAATTTCGCTGTGAATTATCTTACTCAACTAGTTTGACATAAAAAAAATGAAAAAACCTGTACTCGGGTGGATTTTCTGGCCACATGTGAATCCAATCCTTCAAAGGGTAAGCATAGTGTTTGAGAAAAACCCTCCAAAACTGGACCTTATCAATTCCATCTCTTAAGCTCGTCCCATACCTCACTGGCTTGTGCACATCATTTGACAACAACTTCACCTTCTCCTTTGTCGGCAAATCAAAGAATTTGGAAGCCACGGATATGGCCTCATTAAGCACTGATTCGTTCACTCCATGGTTCACAACCTGAAAGTTTCCAGGTTCCAACATGGGGCGAAAGCATATATAGTCGATTGTTCTATATACGATAATAGCTATAAATATCATCCAAATAAAAGGACAACTAGAACTTCGCTACATATATAACATGTTTGAGACTTTATTGACCAACCTAGTATTATATAATAGAAAACCCATTTCAAGTCATTTTCATAAAATTTAGGAAACAATGAAATACTAATTGTAAAATAAAAATTGTATTTTGCTTGTTTGTAATACTAATTGTAAAAGAAAACGTTTTAGATTAAAAGGTAATTACAATTTTAACTTTTTAAAAAAGCTACTTATATCCATTAAAAAAACCCTGAAATAAAAAACTTACTTGAAAGAAACCCAAACGACGACAAGCATCTCTAATTTGTTGAATAGCACGAGACCTTGTTGCTAAGCCATTCTTAAGCGCAGCCACGTCAATAACAGCAACATTAGCATATTCTTTGGGTGCTAAGTTAGACCTATGCAAGGTTGGAATCACATATTGTTGAGGGACACAAGAGAGATCCTTCTCTTGAGCACTTTCTAAGGTGGAGAATGAGCTTGTGCTCTCATCACGCCCCATTTTCATTGTTACCTTTATGTTGAAAGACCAAAATATATTACAATGAGTCGCTACAGCATATAGCATTTTATAGCTCGAGTTGAAGCCAAGACTTGGTGACTAAGTTAGTTCATGCCTTGAATTGAGACCCATACAAATTGGTATAATGAAGAGCAATGTGTTCGAGAATGCAAGGCACAGCTTTCATTTTTGATTTACCATTAAGAATCTGAACTTGGTCTAGTTTCGTGAATAAGATTAATTAGAACAATTTAAAACTAGATAGCATTCACGTTCAGCCAATTTTGCTGTTGTGTTGTATTCCCCTTTTTATATTAAGTGTATCCAACTATAAGGGGACAAAACGGCTCTAATGAGCAAGAGACAAAATGCTTATATGCACCAAATTAAATAATATTTGAGCCATTTATGCATGCAAAACGGGCCTGAATCAAGTGACATCAAGGAATTTAATGTCATATGTAGTTATGAAATGTTCCAAATGTGATGATGTTTGAATCGTAACACCGTTAAACAGTGTTCATGCTTATCCACAGATGTTTTTCTTTTTCTGCGTCTAGATAGTCCACCTCACTTCCAATTGTTTTTCTTTCGCAATAAAATCTTTTTAATTTCAGTTTAAAAATTAAATATTTGAAAAAATATCTTATTTTCTCCTTGAACAATAATGAGTTAAGAAAAATTTGTATTATATGGAAAGAATAGTGAAATTTGACCCAGATGAGGTCATGTTGTATTTTTCATTTGAGTTTATCTCTCTTTTGTCATTATTTATTTATCTGTGTTGCTCTCTTCCTTTAGTCCAATTTTGCACATTTTTCTTAAAACGGACTTTAAGCTTTTCACATTTTCAAAATTTATATTTTCTTGAAGAATAAAATTATTTCTTTTTTAAATTTATTTTTCTAAACTAAGGTATTTTTTAAATTAGAATTAATCATTCTAAAAACTTTTAACAGAACTGCATGATTTTGAATCTCTCGTTGCACCTCAAACATGTGTGAGAACCCTGTCAAGCTCAAAATAAAGTCTTTTTTAATTTAGGCTTTAATTATAAAACAATAAAAATCTCTTTTTTTGTGTAAATATTTTCTTAGCTAATTTTGAATTTAAAAATACCAAAAATTAATTTTAAAACTTTTTATTTTCTGAAATTAAAAGTGAAAAATGTTTTTTAATAATTTTTTACCTAATTTGAAATAAAAATATATATATATTTCAAAATGATTTTTTTAAAATCCCTTTCTTTTACCCCAAAATAAAAAAAGAAAACAATAATTCATATAAATAATTTATTTATTTAATCCAAACTTAAATTAACAAAAAGGAATTTAAAAAGAATCTTAGAGAAACTAAATTCTCATAAATCATCATGTACTTTAAATAAAAAAAATGAAAAAATACAAATTATTCTTTTTTTAGTGAAATATTTTTTGAAAGCTAAATTAATTTTATACAATTATAGATATTAATCCATTCTGATTTAGGTTTAATATCGATAAAAGCAAAACATCAATGAGAATTCAGTATATTTTCTCTTATTCAAATTTTGAAAAAGTTCTTTCCACATTCATTCCTTTTTATTTATATAATTTTTAGAGAACAGTACGCAACAAAGGGTGCAAATATGGATGCAGTTCACTCCGCCAAGCGAACCTGTAGTTGAATATGCACCTCTTCTCAGCGTCTTTGGCATAGGCCTTATCCAACACCTCAGAGAAACTTCATTGTTTTCTTCATTCTCTCCGAACCAAAAGCTAAAGAATTTCAAATTTTGATAACTTAACAATTTCATGTTCTCTTTCTTTGTCCCTCACATTGTGAAAGGAAAACGTGAAATTTTATTTTATTTTTTTACTATCCTTTCTCGTCACATTAGCCTTCATTTTTTAAAAGGTTAAATTATACATTTCATCCCTATACTTATACAAACTTACAAAACAGTCCCTCACCTGAAAAAAGTTACACTTAATTTCTATATACATGTAAAAAGTTACAAAATAATTTATGTCTCCCTTTCCTGTCTTCGCAGCATTAGAAGAAATATAACGTGGAGAATGTGGAGGACATGGAGGATTTACAACTTTGACTCAGCTTTAGGAATCCTAATTTCTTAGTTGCATCACCAGTTCATGGCAACTTATGCTTTTGAATGGATGATGGAAAACAAAGGAAGTGCTGTGAGTTGTAGCCGATGAGGGAAAATGGTAACGTATTGTAAATGTGAAGGTAGAGTAAAAATGTACACATACAAAATTACACAAAACTATAGAGGCATATTTTTAGGTGTCTAAACTATAAGGTATGTTTGCCTTGTTGATTTATGATTTTTTATTTTGAGTTGTTTGATACAAAAAGTGTTGTGGGTTTTTTCGATGGATGGACCAACTATATCTAAACAAGACACACAACTGAGACAAGAAGTAAAGAGTTATAGAAAATTTGAAAAAAAGAATTTGAGTTTTGAAGTTGTTGTTATGTTGTTCATGAAGATTGTTTTCGTTTCTTGTAATTTTTGATATAATGGTAGTAATATATTATGTAAAATTTGTAAACTAAATTTCACATATTTGGAGAAAATTGTTTTAGGAACCAATTGAGGGATGTTTGTCATTGTAATGGGAAATAGGTTTGGAAAATAAGTCTCAATGTCTAATATATCTTCAATCTACACTTTAATGAATGACATATCTTATTTTGTTAATGTATTGATTTATGAGTTATTTTATTTTAATGTTCATATTTAAATGTAGCATTTGAATAATGACTTAACGAGCTGTAAAAATAAAACAGTCCATAATTAGTTAATGAATAAAAGGAGACAAAAACACACATGTCAAATTAAAGTGGTTCAAACTAACATTATTTAAAATATAGGCATATAGGCCAATATGCAAGTACTTCTTTTTGCAAAACAAGTCAAAATAACAAAAATCAAAAGGTAGATTCAGTTCCTAAACTTCAAGTTTACTTCTCTCCTTCAAAAGGTGGTTTATTTTTCACAACTTGAGTAATAACATTCTACAATTGTTGTACAATTATGGCTAACTTTCCTTTCCACTTTTCCATGGTCCATTTGATTTGTAATTTAGGTCTGACAATTTTTTTTATAGCCTCAGCAAGTTTCTTCTTCAATCATGAAATGGTAGATGCGATCAACCTTGGTGCAATGGTACAAGGTTGTTCAGAAGGAACAAAAATTATAGTGTCATCGCAAAAGTAGAAAAAAGGGCTTTTTACATTGGTTTAAAAAGGCATTTTACGTCAGTTTCGCATCTACATCGGTTGTTAATAATCAATGTAAAATGTGTTAATTTCTTGTAATTGATATAAAAAGTGTATTTTTTACATCGATTATATACGCTCTTTATATCAGTTGTTCATAATAATCGATGTAGAAAATGTTCTTCATGTTCATGTTTGTCTTCTCAATGATGTTGATTTTTTGTCTCTGACAGTTTTAACGTTTGCATTTTTAATATTATCAATATATATTTGTCGTGTTCATCTTGTTCATTGTATTCGTCATTGTTCATCTTTGTTTGTATCTGTAACATAAAGAATATGTAGTGTTCATCAAATTGTTTAATGAAGAAGCAAATACAAAAAATGAAGCAAAATAAAACCATTGATATACCTGAAAAACTATTGTCAAGTTCGTTGTCCATGCATGTTCCTAATTAATAGAAACTTCAAAAACTTTAGAAAAGTCTTTGCACGTCTCCAATTTATGCTATTTCATTGGTGCATATTTGAAAATTTTAAATTTGAATTGGTTCTACACCAGTTCCTAGAAATAATAATGTAGAAAGAATATTTTACATTGTTTGTTTATTGAATCATGTAAAAAAATTTATAATTTTAAAAAGTTTAAAAGGCTATAACTTTCAATACAAAACTTTGATTTTTACTTATACACCTATTTTTGGGAAATGATAAAATAAAAAATAAAAAATTAGAAAAAAGAGAAAAAAAATATTAAAATTTTGAAAAATAGGTGGTCACAACCCCTTTAAGAAGTGGACAGATCTCAAAAAGTTATATAAAATTGACATAGAATTTGCATAAGTCAAAATCATTTACTAAAAATTATGCCTATTCAAAGTTTACAGTTATAAACATGAAAAATTGTAGTACTTTTTACATCATTATAAAAATAATTGATATAGAAAAGTTTACATAAATTTTAAAAATAATATCGTGTCTTTTTTTACCTTGGTTATTTTTAAAACTTAGTTAGAAATTGCTTTTTACATCACTTCCTTTGACAACTGACTTAGAATTTGTATAAATTTCAAAAATACTATCGCATCTTCTTCTAATTTAAGATTTTATTTATTTTAAAATTTAATTTACTTAATATAATATTATATTATAAGTTTTATATAAATTTATTTAATATAATATTACAAATTTTAAATTTTGATAAAAATTTAATATTTTTAAAGTTAACTTATTTTAACTTATTTAATTAATTAAATTTTTTAAAAATTTTAAATTAAACTTATTATTTAAACAAGTGAAACTAAACTAAGTTAAACCATACGGCTAGCCTTCCTATTAAGGAGGACAAAAAAGCATTAGAGAGAAAATTATAAAAAACATTAGAAGCAAACAAAATCATTATAATAAAATTATTAAAAATAAAATTAAATATTAAAAAATAATAAAATTTTAAAATAAGTTTTTAATATTTATTTGTAATAAAGTAATTAAAACACAACTACACTCTGATTTTTTATTTCTTTATTTTTTTGGTTTTTTCTCTCTCAGCTCTGACATAGAAGCACATTCCCTCACAACACTTGCTCACGGACGATACCCACAGAAGGGGCTAGAAAAGAAAAGGACTTGAAGATTCTTTTGCAAAGGGTATACAAGGCACACGAGATACCAACTCTTAATCAATTAAAACTATGTAGGAGTTGTAATTAAAACTCAACACATTTTATTATTTTTCTTGTAACCTCCTCTTTCTCCCAATTAACTGTAATGTTTTG